TCATTGTACGCTGTACAGGACGTGCTCGAAAACCTTCGCGTACCAATTTTGCTGTCTCACCGCTGATCATTATTTACCTCGTCTCTTGGTTGGCCGCGGACGACTTTGGATAGTGTTGATATGCGAGGATGGTACTGCTTGAGAGGCAGTGGGTGAATGTTCAGGAGAAAACATTCAGGAAATGGTACGACTACGCTCCAGCCTCGGAGGACAGAGTGCTAATTGATGCGACAGGCTTAACACAAAGATAAAGCCCCGCGATGTTGTGGTCAACGACCTTGCGACCGATCTCGCCGATGGTGTCAACCTCATACACCTTCTTGAGCTATTGAGCAACGAGTCCCTAGGCCGATATGCAGCGAAGCCGAAGTTACGAGTTCAGAAATTCGAGAATGTCAACAAATGTCTAGATTTTATCAAGAGCAGAAGCATTCAGCTGACCAATATTGGCGCTGAAGATGTGGTGGATGGAAATAGGAAGATCATCCTCGGCCTGATCTGGACGCTGATTCTGAGGTTCACCATCTCGGACATCAATGAGGAGGGTCTTTCCGCAAAAGAAGGCCTTCTATTGTGGTGCCAGCGCAAAACAGCCTGCTACGAGGGAGTCGAGGTCAGGGACTTTTCTACCTCTTGGAACGATGGATTGGCCTTCTGCGCATTGCTCGACATTCACAGGCCGGATCTGATAGATTTCGATACTCTGGATAAATCAGACCACAAGGGCAATATGCAGATGGCATTTGATATCGCTTCGAAAGAGATTGGTATACCAGATCTGTTGGATGTTGAGGACGTCGCAGACGTGCAAAAGCCCGACGAGCGCTCACTGATGACCTACATTGCATACTGGTTCCATGCCTTCAGCGCTATGGAAAGAGTTGAGAATGCTGGAAGGAGAGTCGAGAAGTTCGTGTCGAATATGCAGGGCGCCTGGGAGATGGAGTCGGCCTACGAGAAACGAATGCGAGCGCTCCTCGAGCTGATACGCAACCAGCGACAGACGTGGCGCGACTCGAGATTCGAGGGCACCTACACAGATGCCAAGGAGCAGGCGACAGAAATGTCCAGATTTAAACGAAGCAAGAAAAGAGATTGGGTAGCAGAGAAGTCGGAGATAGGGGCTCTGCTTGGAAACATAAAAACAAAACTGTCAACTTACAAATTACGGCCATACCATCCACCACCAGACCTGAAATACGAAGTGCTCGATGAGGAATGGGCTGGTTTAACACATGACGAACAACAACGAAGCAAGCTGATTAATGAAACGATTCGCGACATCAAGAATGCACTCAGAAGAAGTTTCGCTGACAAGGCCAACGATTTTGCTTTGACGCTCAACACGCTGTCTCTAGCAATATCGGGGCTGGAAGGTGACGTCGAAGATCAGCTACAACACGCCCAGAAGCTGGCTAGCAACATCCCTGTTCTTGAACAATATCTTGAAGGCATAGAAGTCCTGGATCAAAAATGTCAAGAAGCTAATATTGACGAAAACGACTATACGACTTACACATATGATGAGCTCGTCTATGAGCTGAGCCTCGTCAAGCAATCAACACTGAAGAAGCTCACATTTCTGGAGAACCAGATGGTTGCTCGTAGTATGACCAACTTAACGCCGATCCAGCTTGAAGAGTTCGAATCAGTGTTTAGGCATTTTGACAAGGATGGCACGAACACCCTGCACGAATTGGAGTTCAGTGCAGCACTTGCCAGTCTTGGTCTTGTTTACGATGAGCAAGAAATGCATCAAAGATTTATCGATGTTTGTCACACTGGCATCGATGCTGCAATGTCGCCAGTTTCGAAAAGACAACGAGAATCTCGGGGTGTTGGCTTCGAGCAGTTTATCCGATTCATGGTGGCGGTAACGGAGGATCAGAATAGCGCTGAGCAGGTCTTCGATTCGTTCCGAGAAGTTGCGGATGGCAAGCCGTACGTTACAGAGATGGATCTGCGGCACTCTCTGATACCAGAAGAGCTTATCGATGACCTGCTACAGAGCATGCCTGAGCATCGTGGTCCAGATCTGGAGGCGGACAGAGACGTGCCCAAGTACGACTACATTACTTTCATGCAGGGCATGATGGGCGATGACAAGCAGTCGAATGGCGATCACAGGCCAAAGACTCCAGCGAGGTGAGAGAGATTTGAGCGTTGATTTGTGTTACGAGCAAGCATTGCATTTGGACAGGTACAGATTGGTTATGCAACGGTTGTACAGGATAAGACGGCTGTTTTGTGGGCACACGGCAGGTACGACGACTTCACATATAGGCATTGCTTAATCATATATTTCATCCTTCCATGATTGACGTCCCAGACTTCAAGTTCGTGATTACCATTACTATCCAACTGCAATGCCCGAGGCTGCCCCATGATTCCACCCCGGATCCCAAGGGACGAAGCGATCGGCGGCTCGGAGCTTCCTTGACCTCGGTATTTTGCGGTTCAATCGAGACTCCCGGTTCATGCGTCCTAAGCGATCGTTGCTGCAGGTCCAAGTCAGATAAATATGCTTGCCGGTATGAGCGATTCCTTGGTGCTGATATCGATCGGAGGGTGCATCTGTTTGTCGGAATACCCTCCTTGACCGTGTAACGTTTGAGCTGCTCCATCCCGTCGGTCAGCACCATGGTCGCACCTACCAAGCAGTACCTGCCTCACAAGGACTACAATGTACCGAACATTGATATCCTGAGCTTGATCTTCGGTCAGAAATTCATCTCTACCACTCACGGTTGTACTAATGCTACCTAGACTCGCCACTGGCCTGGACGAATGAAGACACGATCCTCCATGCCGAAGCGGCTGACCCAAGCAACAAACTCACCAAAGCTGACACGAGAACCTTGACCAAGCGGTTAGCCCATGTCTTCAGGAACAAGTTCGGAATTGGCTCTGATGGCCCAAACAAGGACGTGGTGGTCTGCATATCCTCCGGCCAGATCCTTCTCGCCTCGCTCTTCTATGGCGTTGTTGCAGCGGGCGGCATCTACTCCGCTGCCTCGAGCGCATTCCAGCCTGGCGAGTTAGCAAGACAGCTGAAGCAGGGCAAGAGTGGTCTGTTGCTAGCAAGCGTAGATTGCAAGGACACAGCTATACAAGCAGCGAAAGAGTGCAACATCCCGCTGTCGAAGGTCCTCGTCTTCGATAGTATGGGTCACAAGCGCATGCTGGCAGATGTGGAAAGCAACACGAACTACCTTGACTCGAAGGCGGAAATGGAATGGCCGCGCATTACGGATCACGAAGAACTGAAGAAGAGCAAAGCTTGCTTACTATACAGCTCTGGCACAACTGGCCCACCCAAAGGTGTAATTGTTTCACATCTTAATATTGTCGCGGAGGGTGTCCTGCCACAGTTCATGCTGAGGGAGTACTTCAAGCGTGAGCAGCAGAAGGACCCATCGTTCAAGTTTGAGTACAGAACCTTAGCCCACCTGCCGGCGGCGCACATTGCAGGTCTTCAAGGATACCTGATAAATCCAGCTCTGGCGGGTGGTCCAGTATATTGGATGCCCAAGTTTGATTTCCCGATGTTCTTGAAGTACTGCAAGGAGTTCAAGATCACGACGTTCTTCACAGTGCCGCCGATATACCTGCTCATTGCGAAGAGCCCACTGGTAACCGATCAGTTTGCGCATATGCATCATGCGATCTCGGGCGCTGCACCGATGGGCAGAGAACTTCAGACTGCTGTACAGCAGAAAATGGGTTGCTACATATCACAGACATGGGGTCTGTCGGAAACGACGGGTAGTGTGACAGCTATGCCGTGGGATCAGAATGACCTAACCGGGTCTGTGAGTCCAGTGTTGCCGAATACAAGGTTGCGTGTTGTTGATGACGAGGAGAACGATGTTGAGGAGGGACAAGAAGGTGAATTGATCGTTCAGAGCCCAGTGGTGACGCAGGGGTACTTTGACAATGAGAAGGCGACGAAAGAGTCGTTTACTGCTGATGGATTATGGTTCAAGACGGGCGATATTGGCCTAGTGAGGGATCGGATGTTCTACGTTGTGGACCGGAAAAAGGTATGCACTGCCTCTCTGAGCATCCCGCAGTATTCTCGAGACTAACCAATTTCCAGGAACTCATCAAATACAAAGGTCTTCAAGTTGCACCGGCAGAATTGGAGGCACACCTCATCGCCCACAACAAGATTCTGGATGCAGCAGTTATCGGTGTACCAGCTCCAGATGGCAGCGGCAATGAGCTGCCAAGAGCATATGTTGTGGCCGACAAGAATGCAATCAGTGGAGATGAGATTATGAAGTACGTCAAGGATGCGCTTGCGTCGCATAAGCAATTGAGAGGAGGCGTGATATATCTTGATGCTATACCGAAGAGTCCTAGTGGGAAGATACTGAGGCGTGAGTTGAGAGATATGGCGAAGAAGGAGAATAGAGTGCAGGGTGCGAAGCTGTAGAGAAAGAGCTGTCTTGTGGTCTGGTGTGGCGTATGACAAGAGCGCCGGACTTATTCCAGAAATCGATAGAGACTGATGTTCCTTTCTTAGAGATAGATACTTACGTGACCTAGTCGTGATTCTGAGCGAAGCTGAAGTATGGAATCGTTTTCATTCCTCCACCCGAGAAGCCAGCTCAAGGCACAACCTTTATTTCCGGCCGGAACGGCTCTCTTTTCGAAGCGGCGACCTTGATCTTCTGACAGGTGGCCGGCCGCCCAAAGACGTTTGTTTCCAGCGGAAGGGTGCCACACTCGGGACAGCCGTTGCCCCTCTTGGCACGTTTCCAGATCGGGCAGCTTCGTTCACCCAAAGGAGCAATCTGCACTTCAACCACCCAGATCGCACCAGTGAATCCGGCGCGCTCCCATACACGTGACACGAGTCGAGTCGGTTCGAGCTTCACGCGCTGCCTTGTCCGTTCTCCTCCGTTCCAAGTTTTGTTCTGCCACTGACTTCGCAAAGTTATAATAATTTGTACAGCACAAATTTACTCCACAATCACCCACAATCACGGTTTCAAGCATCGGTGGTTCAGTGGTAGAATTGGTCGTTGCCATCGACTAGACCCGGGTTCGATTCCCGGCTGATGCATCTCTTTTTGCTCTTGAAAGAGTTTTTTTTGCTCCCAAACAGTCAGCATCCATCAGAGTCGCTGGTTGCAGAATCGAAGAGTCGTGGAAAGTGGTTGTGGTGGTTGACGGGTGTGAAACTGCCAAGCCACCAGAAGCAAACACAACAAACACGATCCCCGATACGTCTTGATTTGATCCTCACTATCAAGGTCGCTCTTTCCTCGACATCTGCCGGCGATGATGCTATTAAGCTGAGTACATTGTGCGCTTTGAGTACTGTTATGAATTGCTGCGGAAACTGCCACGATTTGATTTGGGACAAGGGGCATCAATCTACCCAGCTTCCATACGGCGTGGAAGGCACGCGTCGATGGCCGCTCCTGCCTCGAAGAACAAACTGGCCAACACCATGCAATTCCTCTCTTTTCACCTTACACCATTTGCTTCGTTGCGTGTATTTGACTTCTCTTGAACTCCGAAGTGCCATCTCGCCAATTTCAAAATTTCCGCCATGGTTATGCCTCAATCGAGCTCACACTACAGGTTACCAGGGTCACAACTCACTTACACATCGTCGCCGATTCATGCTGGGACTTTGGTTGTAACGGACGAGAATGGCACGCCGACCAACAAAAGCAAGTACATCTCCATAATCATATGACTTTGTTGACAGTCGTAGAGCGCAAAATAAGCAACAGCCATGAAGTCGTGCTAGGAAGAGACTCGAACAAATGGTGAGATCAGCCACAGTCACGTTCGTGAAAGTGCTAAAGCTTCAAGCCACTGGACATTTGACGACCCGTACATGTCCCACAAGCACCTGCGCGTCTATGTCATTGTTTTCGAGGACGATGATGCGGAGGGCGAACCATTGGTCTATGCTGAGGATCTTTCACGAAACGGCTGCCACTGGAACGGATCTTTGATGGGCAAGAAGAGCGATGCGTTCTTGCTGAGCGACGGCGATCGTCTACGACTAACTTCACAGACGAGCTTGGTTTTCCAGGCAAGTATTGCGGATGAGCGTAACCGTTTCGACCTGATACAGGAACGAGAGATGCAGGTGAGCATAGTCTCAACCCACCAGAAACTCACTAATGCCGGTCTAGACGTTTTGTGACAAATACGTACTCACCGATCGTCTGCTAGGCTCCGGTGCCTTCGGAAGCGTATTCATGGCCGTTGAACAGACAAGTCGCACACAGTTGGCTTGCAAAGTCGTTGATCTACGGCACATCGGACGAACGAGAGAACAATTCCAATCACACCATGAACCACGACCTCCACCTACCAGCCGTGCAAAGAGCGAGCTCAGGCAGGTCCGCGTATGGGCCGACAAGCAGAAACGACAGATACCATTGGAGAAGAAGTTCAATTCATATATGCGAGAGTTCGAAATTATATCCTCAATCAGTCATGCAAACATAATAGCCCTGGACAAAGTGTTCATCACGGACAACAGCATCTACATCTTCCAGGACCTCATCACTGCAGGTGACCTCTTTTCCTATGTCGAGTCAAAGAATCACAATTTGCTTGAGGTCGAAGCAGCAGTCATCATTCGACAAGCCTTGATCGCTGTGCAATATCTGCATGAGCGAAACATTGCTCACCGCGACATCAAGCCCGAAAACGTTATGCTGACAAGCCTTGGCACTGGAGCTAGGGTCGTGCTTACAGATTTTGGTTCTGCAAGGCACATACTGCCCATGCAACGAGCTACGACTTTTGCTGGGACGGAAGAGTACGGCGCACCTGAGATGATGAACCAACGCTCGAAGTTCTTTTCGAATAGCAAAAAAGCCCCCGGTTACTCCCTCTCGATCGACATGTGGTCTCTCGGCACAATATCCGCTCTGCTTCTGGCTGGCTTCCGCGCATTTGACAATCCTGATGGGCAACACAGTTCGACGTTAGCACGAAAAGCAGAGTTGAGCAGACTTGAAGACGACAGACGGTGGAGAAACTTAGGCGAGCGCCCAAAGAACTTCGTTCGCCGCCTGCTCGTCCTGGAGGAAGATCAACGACTCACAGCGAAGCAAGCTCTGGAACATCCTTGGTTCACGAACCAGATGCACAGAACAAATTTCGAAGAGCTCTATCAGCGCACAATCAAGAATTGGAGACCAAGGATTCCAAACGTTCCGCTTGTTGAATTCATCCAAGGACAGTGCCGGGAAGTCAAGTGGTTTGAGTCTTCACAGAAGGTTCTCGAAGAGCAACGGCCTACAAGAAGTCATTCACTGACACCAGCTGAGCCACCATATAAACCATTCTACCGTAAGGTATACGACAAGACTGGGCTATGGCCGCCGAAGCGTAAAAGAGGCTATGGCATGTCAGAGGAGCAGGAAAGAGCAGTCGAGCAGTGGAATGAAGCGATGTCTGGATCGTCGAGTCCGAGTCGTGCTGTGCATGAATCTCTACATGACCGATTCAAGCAACCCGGGAAGTTGTTCTCTGTGCCGACAAACCTTAGCAGAAAGGAAATGGCGACAAGCGATGGGCGTTTACAGTTACGGGCATGCAAGCGGGGTTCTGAAGATGGGCAGAAAGATCTCGATCTACCTATGGCCAGGTTGTCGTCAGAGACTTTACAGGACACTCTTCAGCGCGAAACCAAGTCGATCATTCATCCCATGTCAAGCTTCCGCTCAGACCTTCTCTGTCGCGGTCGCCTTCATTTCGCGATGCAGCACCACGAGGTCTGATGGCAGCAACGAAGAATACATCGAAGTTTACAGCATTAAGTGCGCCGGTAGAACACCCGAGGACAGACATCAAAGATAGCAGAAAGTCGGACACACCCTGTAAGGCTCAAGCATGGTCTCTTAACGTCAAGTCAAGATCCAAGCTGAGATCTCGATCCATGTCAGAAGCTCGTGACACAACCACACCATCGAAGCTGCAAGGCAGATCTGTCTTTGACATTGACGAGGAATATGGTCTCGACAAGGAGAATCGGGCGCAAACTCCACGAGAAGCGCGAGACAGCGTGCTTCGGGCAGCGTTAGAAGAGACTATGGTCAGCCCACATGGCGCTCATCTTCGGTTGGCTGTCGAATGAAGTGGTTGCCGCAGTGACAGTGATACAGTGCAACTGGCAAGTGGAGGTTTCAGCATATACTTGAAGGGCATCTGAAAAGCAGGACTTACCGACAGCGCTAACAACCTCCAGGCCATCAGTTTCCAGCCATTCTAGGCCGCTAGCTGATCAACGTTGTTGTTATGTGTCTCGTGGATAAGGCGGTTTAGCTACTGATTCTTGTTAGGCAAGGGCTAGATTCACCTCTGTCACAGGGAAATACGACGCTATATCGAATGAGACGCCTGGAGATATGACTCAAGATATCGCCTCGAGGTTATCAGCACTTCTTGCCCATGGTTTATCACGGGCTCTCTGCCCTCGGGGCGACGGGGTCCAACACAGCTAATCATATCATCTATGAGACCTTCCTATCCCTATGCACACAGTCTATGACCGTCAGCTATGTCTACTAACACGTCAAAGGATGGACCGAAAAGCTGGCCTTCTCAGGATACTCTACGCGGTGAGGACACAGTGAAGCTCCGTCCCGAACAGGCTTAGCGTCCACTCGCCTCCCTGTTGGCCCCCGGACGCTCCACGGCTCCCGGACACAGTCAGTCGACCAACTCATACCTATCCAACAATACTGCCCACCATCTATCTCGTCCTCCGTCACATCACACCACCGTCCACAACAATCAACCATGCTGTCCAAAATCCTCCTAACCATCAACCTCACACGCACCATCTTTTCCCTCCTCACACAACGCCTCCTCGACCGCCTCCAAAACCTCATCCATTTCCACACCTACACCCCTCACGCCACCCCCAAAGACATCATCGTCATCGGCGCCTCCTACGCCGGCTACACCTGCGCCGAACACCTCTCCCAAACCCTCCCCCCAGGCTGGCGTGTCGTTCTCACCGAGATAAATGAGTTCTTCAATCACACCTGGCTATTCCCCCGGGCTTCGGTGATGAGCCGCAAAGCAATCGAACAGCTGACATATATCCCATATCCAATCAGGCCCCGATATGCACCCGACGGCTCGTACTTATTTCGTCGAAGGAAAGCGTCACGCGTCGACACCGAACTCCAGCATATCCACCTTGAGGACGGAGCGGTTCTGGCATATGAGTACCTCGTTCTCGCAACTGGACTGCCAGGTCGTTATCCCGCTGGTATCAACAGCCTGCAGAGAGACCAAGGCCTCGAGTACTTCGCGCGTCTGCAGACCCAGATCAAGGAGGCGAGGAGTGTAATTGTGATTGGTGGCGGACCGGTGGGCATCGAAGTTGCGCTTGATGTGGTATCGGAGTACGTGGGGAAGGAAATCACGCTGATACACTCGAGGGGTCATCTGGCGCACGGGTATGGGGTGAGGCTGCATGTGGCGTGTATGAGGGCGCTGTCCGAGGGTGGTGTCAAGGTGATTCTGAACGAGAGGGTGAAGAGTGTTGACGCGACGTGCGGACACGTGAAGTTGAGTACGGGCGAAGATCTCGCGGCTGAAGCTGTGGTTAGTCTTTCAGGGAGAGGATCGTGGGACTTACTGATTATGATCACTGACAACATGCAGATCATGTGCACAGGTTCAGCACCTGCCTCCAACCCACTGCCTGGTCTTCCCAGTGAGATCATCACGCCTACTGGCATGATCAGCGTGAACAGTTACCTGCAAGCCGACGATGCAAGTACGCCTAATATCTTCGCGGTGGGTGATATAGCCGACACAGGCGTCAAGAAGATGGGTCGTGCTGCGGGGTTGCAGGGACTCGTTGCGGCGAGGAACATTGTGCGGCGGATCACGGGGCGGAACATGATGCTGTATAAGCCGGGTATCATTGAGCAGAGTATTGATATGACGGTGGGATTGGTGAGACAGCTCGACGCTCGAGTGGGAGTTCGGCAATGCTAACGGATACTAGCATAAGCACCTGATTCATGTCGAGGGGGGTGGAAGGTGTATGCAGTTCTTGCGAAGGACGAA